GGTGCTGGCAGGCTTGCACCTGGCACGGGCACTGTAGCCAGCCCGTGCCCCTTTAAGGGGGCCAGGGCCGGGAGGGGGGCAGAAGAGTTTCCCTGGTGGTGCCCAGAGTGGCCACCAGGAAAAGCTGGGGAGGGCTAGCCTCCCACTAGTTCGAATTAAGCAGCTACACAGCCGCTACACAACCCTAGTGAATTCGAACTAGGCTTAGTCCTCGTGGAATGAGGTTTACCTAGTTCGAACTAAGCGCTCCGCTAGTTCAAATTAAGTTCGAACTAGCGGATTGCTAGTGTAGCGCCTATCAAAGTTAATTCAAAGTAATGTCTGTTAGTTTGAATTAACTTTGTAGTGTAGACATACCCATAGCTAGTTGAGCTGATGTACTGTCCAGAAGACCTCTTTGTTTGCCACGGCTGGAAGGAAAAGCATCAGCGGTAGCAGGTCTCTGCTCCTTTCCTCAAGAAGCAGAAGAGAGTCAGGGCTGTTTCCCAGGTGGGCAAAGCTGAGAAGCAGGTGGCGGCTTGTTTGTTATTTATCACAGCTGGGGAAGGAGAATTCATGACCATTTCCACATTCACAGTGGCATCCAAGCCTGAGCAGGGTAGAGCTCCTCTAGGAAATATTTGGGGGGGTTGCTCTCTGGCAATGTTCCCTCTAATCTTTTCCACCCCGTGTGGATTTCCCCCCATATATGTGCAGAATAAATTTTGTTACATGCACTGAGGCCTGCGTGGAAGTACACCACCAGAAGAAATCAAAAACCTATTTTTTGGGACTATGGATGCAAATCAGCTGGGCAGCACTGAAATCTCTCCTGAGCAGCTGCACGGGTGCCCAGCTTACAGGGAGCACCAGTCTCTGGCTGGCATCATTCAGGTAGGCAAATTAGATGGCCATCATGGTCTAGCTGTTACAGTCCTGCCTGTACAGCATTGGTTCCCAAACTGGGTGTGTGTGAAGAAATTCCAAGGGGGGCGCAAGGCAATCCAGCCCCCCATCATTCACCCCACCTTAAGAAAGAACCCAGGTGGGTGCTACCTCCTGCAAACGTGGAGGAAGCGCCAGCTTCCTGTGGCATGGGAGGGGGGAAGTCCT